CGGATTGTCTACCCCGGGCCGGCCTTCGCGGGGGCGGTGCGGGGGGCGGCCCCGGCGAGGGCCGTCGGGGGAGGGGGGGACTGGTCCCCGGCGGAGTTCGAGCGACGCGTCGCGTCGATTGTGCAGTTGTGCGACCCCGTCACCGTCGCGATTGTCGTGCGGAAGCTGGCCCAGATGGGACATCGCGCGGGGGACGCCGCGGAGGCCGTCGAGACGGTCCTCCAGCGCTTTCACCAACGGCAATTTATCTTCTACGATAACGGCATCGCCTATATGTTGTAGGGGGCGATGAACCTCGCGCCTTTTCGATGGGTCTGGAAGTGTAAAGGGAGGGAGGGCTTTCGATTGGAGAGATCGGTTGGCTCTCCTCTTTATTCCCTCACTTGGTCTTGGGATTTCTTCTACAGATGCCTTCTCTAAACACTGTATATAGATACATATATATATATCGAGTGTGCTAATTGTTTCATCCGCCGCTTTATATGGTGCATTAACGATTAATCTCAGAGGTCCCTGTTTCTTGTTTGATTGAGGAACTTGCTGTGTGTATATTGTCAATGCTGAATTATCGTAGTACATATATAGAAGAACTTCTCGATAGATTTTTTGCTATTTAGCGCTCCATTTTCGCTCCTCACTAAGAATAGAAACTAAATGTGCTTCCTATTATTTGGCACCTTTATTTTTCAAAAACGAATAAAGGTCTGTGTTAAACAATACACTGGGCTTTCGTAATTAGATACGAATACGTGTGCACATGTTTTTCAGAGTACAATTGGAGTAATACATCTTCTCGATGCCTCACACATTTGAGAACTCTCCAACCACTATTCTTTCCTTTTCTTTTGTCCTTGCACGCATTCCTGAAAACGCTTTTCTATTCATCCATTTCAAAGAAAATAAAGCAAACAAAGGACATTTCCACACACACATCACATAAACGGTTATATCCTTTTCTCAATTGAAAGGCATACTTTATCTTTTATAGATATATATATATATAGAAATCTATATGCATATATAGCCGAATAAAGGAAAATCGTGATAAAAAAACAGGATGGTTTCGAGCCTCGTCCAACCGGATGGAATTAGCAATCATGACGTTCTTATTCTAACATTTATTGTGGTGGTGGTCTCTTACATTGCCAGCGCGTATTGGGAACAGCGCCTTTCGAAAGCGCTTTTTTTCCCCAATGAAATAGCCATTAAAAAGGAAATATTGGAGTTGGAAAAACAGGCCGCGGTGCTTAACACCACCGACACGTGGAATGAATCTGCCCGTGTAGAGCGCAAACTCATCATACTCCGAAAGAAGCTCTCCGAGGAGGTCTCCCAGCGCCATCCCAACCTTCTGGGCCTGATGTCGTTATTTTCCTTAATAGGGAAACCTTCACAGCGGCGAACACTCGCCGAGGCCGATTCGGCTAACGACAAACCCTCAAAAGTTAGGGGAAGATGGCTAGGCAAGGCGCTTTTCGGATGGATTTCACCTCCTACACGACGGCATCTGCACAATATGCTTCCGGGAATTATCACGTACGTCATTCGGTATGGACCGGTCGGGGGGTTGGGCTTACTGTGGTGGGGTCGACCTCAGGTTGGACAGCTCCCGAGGTGTTTGGCGATGAGCGCATTCATGCAGGTAGTCTGCCTACCGGCTGTGATGTTGGACTTTTTAAAACAGGGTCCCCGTTTTATGAGCTCGGGTCAATATCACTCATCCATTAAAATGGTACCGACGGCTAATGCAACAATTGATTCCATTTATGAAAAACCTGTCTCTTTTGGCATTTTTATATGGATTCTGATGTGCTTTTGTACGTTAAAGTTTACCCTTCGTGTGTTTGGTTGAAATGGGACCCTCTTTCTTCATAGAGGAAGGAATCATCGATATCAAATTTGATCTTTTCGACTTACGTTTCTCTTCGATGAGAGTAAGTTGAGATTGCGTTAGCACCGACATATAGGTGACTTTTTGTACAATGATAGTTTGATAGCATCATCATTCTTCAATTTCCTATATTTTTATGTAGGAAATCCATATAAATGCCCTATAAAAATATCAATGGTAAGACGAGCTTTTATTTTTTTCATTCAATCTGTTTGCTATGTATTATTGATCACTACCATCTTCGATTGTTTTTGTTCTTTTATATATTTTTTTGATTGCTTGTGCGTTTTCAATTAATTTACTTATGAAAGAACTCAATTCCAAAAGGGAAAGGAAAAACGAAAAGATCCATTAACCGTGATAAAATAACTAACTATCTAAAGATTCATTTAAAAAAAAAGAAGAAAAAAACGTCCACGATATGCAGTCTCAAGCCCCTCCCATGACCTCTTTTGAGGAGAATATCACCCGCGCCTATCAATTTCTCACGGAGGCCCGTCTGCAGTCGGCGTTGATGTACAACAGCACCAACTTCTGCATGGAGCGCTGCCTCGACACGGAGGAGTTGTACACCCTGCGGCGCACCACTCAGGCCCCCATTCGCTACCGATTAAAAAAAGACTTGGAGGAAAAGCAGTGTGTGCAGAACTGCTCCGCGAAGTGGGATGTTATCCTCCGCACGGCAATCATGGAGGCAAATGAAAAGGAGGTCCGCGAGGTCCAGGCGGACGCGATGGCGAAAATGCTGCGCGCGATGCAAAAGCAGCAATCGTAAACAACAGAGGGGGGGGGGGGGTAAAGAAGTCCCACCCCGAGGACGATATGCGTGATTGCATAGGGTTTAACCCTTTCGAAGGGATTCTCTTTTCACGGTAGGGTTCTTTTGTTAACCTATTGCTTTCTCCTTTTCTCTTATTAGTTCAATGTCGAGGAAAGAGTACCGGCGATTATGTGGTACAAATGCCTCTCTTATTTGGTTTACGGTGCCTACAGAGGATAATAACGAGTCGGCTAACATACATAAATACGTATATATAAATATATATTTATATTTGTGTGTGCCACATCTCTGAAAAAAATGACGGACAAACTAACGAAAAACTTTTTCGTCTCTTTCCTTGCATGATAAAAAAGAAAATGACCAGGTTTTTGTAATTCTACCTCCTTTTCTTACGGGATAGGGTGGTTGTCAAAGTCATTATCCTGCATCTTTGCATTAATAATGCGGTTTGGTTGAAAAGCAGTATGAAGTCGATATTTGTTTTTTTATGCATCCTTTTGAATTTCCGCTACTTCTATTTTTATAATTTTAAAATTGGTTAATATTGACACTGGATAGATAACATAACAAATACCTTGTTAGTGTCAATAAAGTGGAAAGTATCGACAAGCATGGCGATTTTTAGTTGACATCAGACATTGACGGTTGCGTATCTCAGAAAGACATCACGCGTAACGGCCGATCATGGATCCTACCACTCCATCCGTATAAAGCCGCTCTCAAGGGTACATCAATTTCTAAAAGTTAAACAAGCGTATAACGTCTTATCTGATCCGTAGATACACTTGATTTACGACCACTTCGTTGAAGGTCTAAGGGTTTCAGATGGCCCTATGCCAATGTCTCTCGCTTTCATGCGGAGTGCCGTGTTTGGAGGTATGTTTTGGAAGGTCATGCTTTTGCTTCTCAATTTGATCTTAGTATTCCTTGCGCTCCTTGGTGAATATGTGGATGGCCGATTATTTTCCTTATGAAAATACATACAGATATTTTCTCTTTTATTAACAATGACTGTGTTGGTGACAATGAACACTCTTGAAATGATACTTATTGCACTCGACATGGGTCTATAAGCACGATTTGTCTTTTCTTAGCAACTTTGTCTATTCAGCCTATAATCACCATTCTTACGGTTAACGATTCTGACGGAAGAAATGAGTGTTACGGTCAGATTAATTATAATTCTGAATTGAATGACTGATTAAAGTGGAGTGCGTGACGGTGTCAAGCATATCTAATGCGATCTTTTTTTTTACATATTTGGGTTATGCGAATGGATACTTCACTTTGTAGTTACTCTTATATGAAGTCGCACTGAGATCTCTTTCCTTCATTTTTGGACCCCACTTGTGTGCATCTTGGCTGCTTCTGCTACTTCTCGCCACCAAAGATAATCTTTTTACCCCTATTGATTTTAACCATACAAAATGGAAAGAAGGGAAAAAACGTTTAACTTCATATCAAAGTAATCATAAATACTGATATTCTAACAATTCAGGACCCCACCGAGATCATGTTTTTAGCGGTCTTTCACGAGTTCGCGCACCCGGAAGTCCTCGAGGAAGTCAAAAAACAAGGAATTTGCGATGTAGAAATGCGTCCGGAGCCAATCCAGACGACGCTCACCCCAGAGGAGCTGCAGATTCTTCGAACCAATGCGAAGCTCATAACAATCAGTCGTTGCGTCACGGGTCTATCGTCCCCAATGGAATCTCTTACACAGGAGGAACAAATGGGCCTGAAGGTGACGGTTGATAAAAAGTTAGAAGCTTTAATTCGTTTAGGGTTTAAGGTAGAAATAAGACACCCCAAGACCTCAGCGGGGTACGCGATGCCGGATCGGGTAATTCTTAGTTTCCCCGAGTAAGAGCTTGTTTATTAATTAAATACTCCACGTGTTTACGAAGGTGTACATTAACTTGAGTTTATCTAAGTATTAGATATAAGCGGCGAATCTCATTTTATAGGTAAACTAATACAGGTTTCCTAGAATTTATTACACATAATGAAAACGACTAAAGTTTAGAAAGAACCCTGTGGGGGTTTCACAACCCCAGCACCTGCTGTGTGTTGAACGGATCTGAAATGCGATGTTACAGCGGCGAAGTAATTCATTTTTCCCCATTTTTTACTTTATTCTTTTATATCTATATATAACTTTGGCCCTTTTTATTTTTCCTCCTACATAGCTTGGACGCTTCGAGTAATTACAAAGTGCCAAATGGGTCCTCTTTCAAAGAAGCGTATGATCATCCGCGATGGGGTGTTCTACGCCGAACTTTTCGAATTCCTCAAGCGCGACCTCGCCGAGGAGGGGTTTGCCGGTGTGGAGTACCGCATGACTCCCCTTCGTAGCGAGATCGTGATTCGCGCGACCAAAACTCGCGAAATCCTCGGCGAGAAGGGCCGTCGGATTCGCGAGCTGACCAGTGCGATTCAGCAGCGCTTTCGCTATAAGGAGAACAAACTCCAGCTCTTCGTGGAGCGT